ACTTTGTCACCAGTGCTGGTCAGGAAGATCCCAACTCTGGGAGGTTCTCGCAAATTTAAAAATACGGTCAACAAAGAAAAGCAGTTCGGATTCGGGCTCTGAATTGGAATCATTCAATTGTCAAATTCTCTGAAGCAAAATCTAATACCTAAATATTGAAAGCTTCTCCTGATTGAAGCTTTTAAAACTTATTCACTGACATTTTTTTCAATTTCATTGAGAAAACAAATGAACTAAAGTTCTGTTACATTTTTCCACATTGTACTCGGAGGCAAGTATATTGATGCATTACAAAAGGCTGCAGACCTCATACACTCACAGTCAATCTACTATTTTCTGGGAGGTCATCCACAGGAAAAAAATCCTTCAACTGGGAGGATTAATAACAAAGCAAATGGATTGGCATCATCTCCAAATAGGGCCAGGTTTCACTGACCTGAATCTGGGACCCCAAAATATCTTCGAGTGACGCTCAATCGCAACATGTGGAAAATATCATGTTAGAACGTTATTACATTACAAACCTCCTAATTCAGAAAGCTAGAGAATATTTCTTAATGTTTCTCAAAATATATTTTCATAATGTTGTTAAATTTCTGAGAACGCAGGAGAGTTTTTTTTTATTCACAAGATGAGCCAGCATTTATTGTCCGTGCCTAATTGCCTAGAGGACAGTTCAGAGTCAACCACATGCTGGCAAATCTTTTTAACCTTCCATTTTATGACAGACACAAGAATGGCAAATTTCAAAAACAGTCGCAGTTTTTACTGCATGAGAAAAGGATGTTGATTTGTTGGCAAGTTGATTCTGTATCAGCAGCTTAAAACATCCACAGAATCCTTGAGATTTTAGGCTTTAAGATGAGACCATAGTTGTTTAATTGATTACTTGTATCCTTAGCAGTCAGAAATTTTGTGGATATCTTTGTCTTCTTAGTGAATGGATGTTTCTTTGATTCACTACTAACTGAATATTGTCTTTCAAGAGGCTAAAAGAACATAGGAACAGAGATAGTTTTCAAGTTCCACTATTACAAATCCAGTTTTTCGCTCTGGTTTTCCCAAAATCACATGCCTGAGACACAGTTCATTTGTGTATCTCAATGTCTGGCTTCATTGCTTATTCCCAGCTGGATAATTGGCAGGCAAGTCTTCCATCCTAATATATGAAACTTAGAGGAAGGTGTAACCAGGAGATACAGTTCTGAATGACTGGTTTCAGTCATTTTCATGATAAATTAGTTTCAGTTCAGACTAAGTCTTGTTTATTGATGATTTCGTAAACCTGGTCAGGTGATCAATTTGGCAAATTTAAGTCAGTTTTTTTTTTATTTTTATAAAAACCACTCTGGTCAATAAAAAGTCCTAAATGTTAAGAATCAACTACTGGAAGTCAAAAATTGATAGTCCATTTTACCACTATCCTAGAATCTAGAACAAGGAGACACAATTTCAAATTAAGAGATCACCGATTTAAGGCAGAGAGAGAAATGAATCTTTGGAATTCTATGCCTCAGAGAGCAGTTAAGGCTGTGTCATTGTCTGATCCAGCCGTGAATGTGTCCTAATTTTTGATTGAAAAGGGAGTCAGCCATGGTCTATTTGAACAGCAGAGCGAGTTTAAGAAGACCAAACAGCCTGCTGCTACTCCAGTGTCTTCTTTATTAATAGCAAATGCTTGATATCTGAAATGAAAGCAAAATTGGGAAATTGTTCCACTTCATTCTTGGGTTACAAAGTCGTGGGGGGGAGGTTTAATAAAAAAAAAAGCAAATTGAATCCTACCCAGAACATTTACCTGTCCTCCAGATGCTTACTTGGGAACCTGTGGTGCAGTTCCTGCCTTGATTTCTGTTCTCTGGATTCCTGCAGATGCAGAGACATGTTCTTAACACACCAATCACCCTGTTATAGTTGCTTTCCACTGAGAATCTCTTTTGATTAGGCTGAATTTACATTCTTAAGCCTCATGTTTCAGGGCTGCCTGGCATTGGCATTGCAAAAATTGCTTGCAGCGTCTTGTTGATTTAAATCTGGATGGTGGGATGGGATGATCATGCTTGCACCACAACCTCTAGAGGCTTTTGTCAGTCATCTGTTCACTAGGCCGTCCGTTGTTCAAAGCCTGGACCTCCAGGTGATGCTGGTTTCAGGAAATAGTTTGCCTATCGCTGTGGCGACAGTGTACCGCCATTGAATGCTAGCGTCGTGGGGCGACTGAGCCTTTCTGCTTTGCAATGGCAGCCAGAAAGGCTGTGTTCCTCCCTGTCACATGCCAATGCGCAAAAGGCTCAATGAGCAGAAAAACTCTTGACAGCTTGCCGTGTGGCTTCCCCTTTTAACCTTTGTGTGTGTGTGTTCCACCGGGGCTGCTGTGAAACAGACGTTTTGTGGAACCGCATTCCCTGCTGTAGACATCAGTTGTGGAGCTTGCTGCTAAGGTCCACGGTCTCTTTTATGCTAAAATCCTACCGTGTTCCCTCTGCAGGAGAATGGGCTTACAGAAAATGCCTGCTTCCCAACAGCATACTTTGTCACAAAGGCAGCTCGCAAACCAAGTATTGCACTTGGACATTTTAAGGGTTACACGTGCTCCTCTGTGCTGTTGGGTCACAAGATTTTCACCCAGGGATGATCAAGGATCTGCAGCAAATGTCCAACTCAGGATGGGGTGGGTGATTTGGCACTCCAATAACATTCCCTCAGACCAGTCCTTTGCAGAATACTAACTTCAGTAGTGCTGGAAAAAAAAGGCATATTTTGTCAAAGCTCTTTATCTTGTATTCATCAGGACATACTGCAAGAATACCAATTCTAGGGGAAATACAGCATTTAATTTCAATGCCAGGAAAATATCAATTGGTTGGTAAAAGGACACTGATTGGTAGAAGTGCTGCCATGGAGAATGCACTCATTGATTCTGATTGACAGTTAATTGCTAGGCTTTGTTTAAATTTTAAACCAGGAAGGTTGATTCTGATTGGTCAAGGCATTGCCCAGAGTGTCCACTAGCCAATCAATTTGTATTCTCACCTCATGGAGTATGAATGTTGGGTTTTTTGTCCCCTTGAATTTGTGATCTTGTGAAATATCCTGATGAGGGCGGACTGAAATCAATACTTATATCCTCTCAGAATATCGTGCGTAGATTGAGTGATGGAGGCCGGAATGGAGCTTGAATCTAAGCCATCTGTGCCAGAGACAAGACACTACCAAGTGAACCAGAGTTTGCTGTGCCATTTGAATTTGTCAGTGTATGTTTATTAAGATGCACAGACAGAGCTGAGTTCAAAGTATTGTCTCTTTCAGGCTGTTGCTTGGGTACTACCTGGTTAAGAAACATTCTAAGTTTAAATTAAAAATCGTAATTGAATCCTACGCAAAACACTCGCCTCTCCTCCAGAAATGTGTTTGGTAACCTGTTGCACAGTTCCTGCAGGTGCTCCTTTTATTTTTGTTCTCCAGGAGATACAGAGACTAGTTCCTAACCACACGAAGCAAGCAGTTGTACTTCCTTTCAACTGGGAATTTCACTTGATCAGGCTACATTGTCTTTCTGTTTAAATGCGATTTACATTGCACTAAATCAGCGCAGCCTCTGGCTAGTTAGAAACTGAGCTGGTGGCATAGTAGTAATGTTACTGGGCTAGTAATCTGGAGCTCCAAGCTAATCATAGAATCCCTACAGCATGGGAGCAGAATATTCAGTCCACACTAACACTCCAAAGAGCATCCCCAGACCCACCCACTACCCTATCCCTGCATTTCCCACCCTAGACACTATGGGGCAATTTAACATTGTCAGTCCACCTAAACCACACATCTTTGGACTGTGGGAGGAAACCTGAGCACCCAGAGGAAACCCACGCAGACACGGCGAGAATGTGCAAACTCCACACAGGCAGTTGCCCGAGGCTGGAATCGAACCTGGGCCCCTGGTGCTGTGAGCTTGCAGTGATGACCACTGGGCCACCATGTTGGCCTAGTGTTCTGGGGACCTGGGTTCAAACGCTGCCATGGCAGATGGTAAAATTTGCATTCAGTAAGAAAAAGCTAGATTAAAATGCTGACTGAGAAGATGTTTTCCCTCATGGGAGAGTCTAGGACCAGAGGGCACAGTCTCAGAATAAAGGGGTGCTGATTTAAGGCTGAGGTGGACAGGAATTCCTTCTCTCTGACGGTTATGAGTCTTTGGAACTCCTTGTCACCGAGAACTATGAGGGTAGAGTCCTGCTTAAGGCTGAGATAATTTCTTGATTAGTGGGGAATTGAGGGTTATGGGGAAAGGGCAGGGAAGTGGACTTAAGGAATGTTGGATCAGCCATGACCCCATTGAACAGGGGATGAGGCAGAAGGGCTGAATGGCCTGCTCCTCTTCCAATTTCTTATGGTCTTAATGGTGACCATGCCACATTCACTGTTGATTTGTGAAAACCCGTCTGGGTCACTAATATCCTAAAATGCCATCCTGAACTGACCTGGCCTACATGTGATTCCTGAGCACATAGCAATGTTGACACTTAGCTCCCATCTGTACAATCAGGACGTAGTGGTGCCGGTGTTGGACCGGGGTGGATAAGGTCAGAAGTCACGTGACACCAGGTTACAGTCCAACAGGTTTATTTGAAATCACAAGCTTTCGTAACGCTGCCCCTTCGTCACCTGAGTGTTCTGAAAGTTTGTGATTTCAAACAAACCTGTTGGACTGTAACGTGGTGTCACGTGACCTCTGACTCTGTACAATCAGCGCATGGGAACATAGCCTAGCCGCTAACATCCTTGATCAATTGAGAGTAAAAGGAAAATTAGGAAGGTTTTTATTGGTTGGAAGCCTGTTGTTTGTTCAGGGTGAAATGGCTCATTATTAATGTTGGAAAAACACATCAGGAAATTACTGACTTTCTTTCCTTCCTGTTAACTGTTTTAATGAGGGACACATTCCAGGCACAAGACTTTCGGTCATGTGATTTGAATTTAAACACTCCATTTTCTCTTTCCAGTTCGTCTCCATGACAGCATATCAGAAGAAGGGTTCCACTACCTCATTTTTGACCTGTGAGTAGCGACATACTTTTCCCCTATAAATACAACTTACTGCATCTTATTTTCACCCTGTTTAATGTTTGTCTGATAGCCACAACATGTCTTCTGTTAACGTTCAACTCCTTTGAGCATGATGGATTTGGGCTGTCAGTGTTGGCACTCAACGTTAATGAGCGAAGAATTTAAAAAAACCCGTATGTTCTACAAAATGTGCAAAATTAACAGGCAAGAAAAGACCGGTTGGTGTATCAGGCCTGACCTACACTTCAGGTTTGGTAAACTCATTATAGTCCTGCTGGAGCATAAGGTTGCTGTCTTGTTAGAGAGAGAGGGAGAGAGAGTGAGAGAGACATCTGAGCCAGAAAGCTGACGTTTCGGGTCGGGACCCTTCTTCGTTTTCCGAAGAAGGGTCCAGACCCGAAACGTCAGCGTCCCTTCCTCCGATGCTGCCTGGCCTGCTGTGTTCCTCCAGCTCCACACAGTGTTATCTCTGACTCCAGCATCGGCAGTTCTTACTATCTCTAAGAGAGATACCTGGTTGTGGTTTAATCTGAGGGTCACCATGCCTCAGGTGAGGGGAGTGGTTGAGATGGAAACACTGTCATGGTAATCTTGGCTAGTACAAGAACTGAACCCATGAAGTTTACATCATGTTATATTGCATACCATCTGTCTAGGCAACTGAGCTAACATAACCCATTAGGGTGGTTAATAAGAAAATGATAGACTTGAAAGATAATTCATTTCCACTTTACAGTAGTGGAAAAGGACAAAATCCAGTGGAACAAAGGAGATAAGATAAAGGAGGGGGTTTGCTTAGAAACAAAAACAGAAGTTGCTGGAAAAGCTCAACAGGGCTGGCAGCACCTGTGAAGATTTTTCCAGATTTTCCAGGTCTGGTGACCCTTCCTCAGAACTCAGTTCTGACCCGAAGAAAAAAGTCACAAATTTTTCGGGTCAGAACTGAGTTCTGAGGAAGGGTCACCAGATCTGAAAAATCCGTGATTTTTTTTTTCTTCATAGATGCTGCCACACTTGCTGAACTTTACCAGTAACTTCTGTTTTTGTTCCTAATTGACAGTATCCGCAGTTCCTTCGGTTTTTATTTCGGGTTTACTTGGAGGATTTATTAGTTTAAATAACCATTAACGGAGAACATAATGGGACTAAAGGTCAGGAAGTATTGAGGACCCATCCACGATTATTAGAAGAGCTAGGTAAGAAAATTGCACATGTCCCAAATCTCATTTCATCCGGAAGAGTAGTTGAACTATGTCAACAGCCAGGAAGAGAAAGTAGAGTTGTTTACCTAAGAGCGGGGACGACTGAGAGAGGATCTGATTGAGGTGTTACAAAGGGGCATATACAGGGTAGATGGGCGGAAACCTTTACCTGTAGTAGATGGGTCAATGACCAGGTGGTAAGAAGCAGGACCTTTAGAGAAAGTTTGAGAAAAGATGGTATTTTTCCACCCAGGCGGTTGTGGGTGCCTGGAACTCACTGCCTAAAAGGTTGGTACAGCTGGGAACCCTCAGGACATTTAGGAACTATTTAGATGAGCATGTTAAATGCCATAGCATACAAGGCTAGGTGCCATGTGCTGGAAAATGGGATTAGAATAGATGGATGTTTGATGCTGTATGACTTTGACTGTGGCTTAATTTTTGCAATTGGTTATTTTTCTTCAAGACCGTCAGGCCTCTCTGTTTTATTTATGGGAATGAGTAATGCGTAGTGAGTTCTCAAAAGAGACAAATGGGCTTCGGAGGTTTTGTGGTCCAGTGGGTAGTGTCCCTATGCCAGACGAAGGAGCTCTGAGTTCGAGTTCCACTCCAAGTCTTGCTGGCCAAGGAAGATGTGTTCATAATGCAAGCAAGCAGGCTAAATAGCAAATTGCAACTTCTCCTAATCGTACCAGTCGTAGGAGTGAGAGTGACTCCTGGTAGGCCGAGATTCAAACAATGGAACTTTGACTGTCATTGTCTATATCTCCATGCTATAGCATGCAATGTAAAGGTGCAGGTTACCATAGCAACTCAAAATCCCTGAGTGAACTGCAATGGGCCACTGTCATGCAGTGGTACGGGAAAACAGGTACAATGTGTGAGTTCCCCATTGCAGCCTCTAATAGAGATTACTGGAAAAATTCTGCAGGTCTGGCAGCATTTGTGGGCAGAAATCAGAGTTAACGCTTCAGGCTGAGTGACTCTCACTCGACCCGAATCATAAACTCTGATTTTTTTTCTCCCCAGATGCTGCCAGACCTGCTTTTCCAGCAATCTCTATTTTTGTTTCTGATTTACAGCATACGCAGTTCTTTCGATTTTTATTTGGTATATTAAAGGGTTCCAAGATGCCCATTCCAGGTTTGGATAAATCAACCATTATTCTGTAATTTGCCAGCTCTGCTTCCTTAACCTTACTGTCTTGTTTTCTGGATTAGTTCCTGCAAAAATGAATTGTCTTAGAAGACTGAACAATTGTCTCCTTTCTTGGAAATTGTTTTCCTGATAAAACTTTAGACAACTTTGTCAATTCAGTCCTTGATATGGTGAATAAATGGGCATAATTAATGTAGTGCATTATTTCCCTTGGGCTGTTGTACAGCATTTTGAGAACAAGTTTAACATTGACTTAACAGTGGCATGCCCTAGATACATGTTTTAATTAACTGGAGTTAGACAGCAGATTTTTTGTTTTATTTTGTCATTCAATTTTTTTGACCTGCAGAAATCCATTACCACGCTCTAAATTTATTGGCGCAACTAAGAAATCCACTTAAGTATCATTTTCATTTTCCCAAAATCCTACGCCTACACTGCACTTCTGCACTGTTGGAGATGTCAATTCTTGATCATTTCTCAAACCAAGGCCTCATCTACTCTACTAGGTGGTTGCAAAAATCCTGCATCGCTATTTCGGAGGAAAAGGATTGCAAGAGACAATGACCTGGTCTTTATCACATTGATCTCGGTGGATCCTTACTGTGCTGAAATTGTCTGCCTCACATTGCACATGTCAACAGTGGATCTGTTCCAAAGATCATGCCCTTCATTGGCTTTAAATGCTCTATTGGGACATTCTGGGATTATGACAGTTGCTATACAAATGCAGGTCTGCCCTGCTTTTATATTAGCCCAATAAGTTTAGGTGCATTTTGGTGAAATGCAAAGCTTAAATGTTTGCTGCGGACCACTGGAATTGGATAAAAACCGAAAGAACTGCGGATGCTGTAAATCAGGGACAAAAACAGAAGTTGCTGGAAAAGCTCAGTGGATCTGGCAGCATCTGTGAAGGAAAAAACAGAGTTAACATTTCAGGGTCCAGTGACCCTTCCACAGAACTGTTGGTGGCTGGGAAAACGTCAGTTTATATGCAGAAAATAGGGAGGTGGGTGGAGTAGGGAGTAAATGATAGGATAGTGCCCAGAGAGAGAAAGGAGACAGTTGGACAGACAAAGGAGTTGCTAACGATCAGGCTGGGAGGGTGAATAGTTGTTACTGGGGACTGTTAGTGACTAACAATGGGGGGTGTGTAATGGCAGGCTATGATAACAAGGCCAGGTGTGTGGGGTAGGGGGCTGGGACATGGGGGAGTTTAGGCCCTAAAATTATTGAACTCGATATTGAGTGTGGAGGGCTGCAGGGTCCCCAAGCGGAAAATGAGGTGTTGTTCTTCCAGCTTGCGTTGAGCTTCACTGGAACACTGCAGCACTGGAACATTTGAATTGAATGCCTCTTTTCAAAATAAATACAGAATTGTATCTACTTTTCATTGATCTTGTGAAACTATACCCGTCACAATGTTGCTACAACAACAACTTATATTTATATAGTGCCTTTAATAGAATGAAATGTCTCAAGATGCTTTACATGAGCATTAACGAAACTAAGTATGCCACAAGAGGGAATATGAGGTCAGATAATCGAAAGCTTGATCAAAGACACGGGTTTTAGGGATTATCTCTAAGGAAGAAAGCACAGGAGGGGTTCAGAGATGTATGGAAAGCATGAGGCTTAGGAAAGTGAAGGCACTGCTACTGAAGTGTATTGGGGCTTGTGGTGATCACTGAGATAGGGAGGGGTGAGGCCAGGGAGAGATTTCTATATTGAAAGGTTGCTTGACTGGGAACCAAAGTATGTCTGCGGGCATATGTGTTGTAGAGAAATGGGACCTGTTAGGAGTTGAGATGTGGACAGTGAAGTTTTGGTGACCTGAAGTTTACTCTGCCAGTCATGTACCGACTTGATTAACCATCCCTTCAATTTTGTGCTCAGCGGAACAGAATATCAAACAGAGCTTTTAATGGACAACTGACGCAGTCCCTCCTATTTTGTGCTGAAACCAAATTTATATCCTACTGATCTCTTGTGACTATAAAGAAGAGTAGGCAATTTTTGCAGGCTTGTTTGTAATTTTCTTTCTTCGACAACAAGTTGGACTGAAGGATCTGTTTCCGAGCTGTACATCTCTATGACTCCAAGTTCTTTTGATCTGGTGAATCTGGCATCTTACAGACTCAAAACCTGATAGGAATCCTTTGCACTCAGTAGCTCTTAGAGCAGCAATGCAGCATTGATGTCCTGTAAAAAAGCAGTGCATGATTAGATTATTCCGTGTAATCCTGCACCTCTAAGTCTGTAGACTACATCACCCCAACTGTTGTTTCTTTTTAACATGCATTGCCCTAAGATTTATTTGGATTTATTGCAATTTGGCAGGATCAACCTCTTAAATATTTCTGTCCAGCTTCTCTTTTATATCCCCCTGTTGATGTACCTCAGGACAGCGGGAAATATATATAACACGTTGCTGAGTGCGGGGAGAAAAACATCATTAACTTGTGAGTCAGGCACAGCTTTATTAACAGGCTAGTGAGGATTGGTCCAAATACAATAAACAAAGCTGCTTTCACCTAATATACAAAAGATGTTGTAGCTTGCAGCTTTGATGACACTGTCTTCTCAACTTTGTTTTGTGTGTGTGTGTGTGTGTGTGTTTAGAATTTTAAA